CTGGACTGTTTTGGGCCGGGGGGGGGGGCTCTGCAACTTACCTGGCTGCTTCTTGCTCTGACTGAGGGCTGCTGAGAGCAGGGGGTGGGGCTTGTTGCATGTGCCCACCCCCTGGGCTCTTTACTGCCTGAGCTCCACTCCTGTGCGCTCCTGCAGGAAATGACCCCTGTATATACACACACACACAATCCCAACTAAAAACCCTCTGAGAGGCTGAGATCCTAAGTAGGAATAAAGGGACCTGCTTGGTTTCATTCTAGGAAGGTCTGGTGTACAGTGACACAATAATATTCTACTGTGTCCAAAGTCCAGAGAAGAATGGATTCCACAGGCTGGGGAGGCACAGAAAACTAATATGGGCAGTTCCATTGGGGGAGGAGATTAGAAGTAGAAAATTGCAGAGGCCCAGGTTGCTCTGGGGCCCAGGAAGCTATGCATGCCACCTGTCTCATTTTTCTTTCCTAATCCCCTTGTGTGCATTAGTTTGCTGTGTTTTAATGTGTGAATCACTTTTCTCCTAGCCTGGCTTGTTGGCAGAGTGTAGATATACAGTAAAGCAGAGCACAAGCTTTTTAAAGAATAAAGTTGGTTTATTAAGGAGAGAACAAACTTTGGAGGAAAGAGGAAAGAGAAGTATAACGGTCTAACTAGCTAGCAGGGAGTCAGTAATGAATAGATCTAAGCAGGAGCAGGAAACCCCTCGATTCAGCCAATCAGGAGACAGGAAGGAGACTATCTGAAAATAGCAGGAAGTCCCTAATCTCACTGTGCTAACTAGTTGTCCCCTCTGCTGCCCCCTGCAGGATGTTCTTATCTTCTTTATCTATGCACGATAGACCTTGCATATTCCAACAAAAAAGAGAGATACAGAAAGATAGTAATATAGTTGCAATTAGAGGGGAGAGAAGGGTTGTAAACCGAGACCCCACTGATACCCTCTGTGTGTGCCTACAATACCCTCAGCTGATGCTGACTCTTGGTATTGGGAGCAGGAAAGGGAGAAGGTTCCTCTACAGTTCGTTTCCCCTGTTTGGTGAGCTCTCTTCCCCTTCCCTGTCCCTCCTGCAGGATCTGCACAAGCTTAAGGCCGGGCAGTCTGCCCAGTTTCAAGACTACACGTCAGACAAGCTGATAGAATCCGAGAAGCTCCTCTACGTCCTGGACGGAGATGCGGCGGTCGCGCGGCACATGAAACATCCGCAGGGGGAAATGATCACAGAGGAGTAAGTCTGGGGGAAGCGCCCGTGGCAATATACCTTGATATGAAAACATGTGTGCCCACATGAATTTATAGGCACCCCTCTTTCTGTGCCCTGTGTATCAGAGGGGCATACAAATTACATCCTCCAGAATTTAATGTGTTAGTCCATTGATGTGTTAGCCCGTTTTATGGGTTAGTCCTTTACATTCTCCAGAAATTGATGTGTTAGTCCATTACATTCTTCAGAATTTGGTATGCTAGTCTATTATATTCTTCAGAATTTGATGTGCTAGTCCAGGGGTGTCAAACATGCGGCCCAGGGGCCTGATCAGGCCCCCGGAGGGCTTCTATCAGGCCCCCAGTTTAACTGGTTGTCTTCTACTTCTTCTTCCAGTTCTGCTGCTGCTGCGTCATCGTAGGTTTACAGCTTACAGATACGCACCTGAACAGCATACTCAAAATTGCAACAGCACAGATAATTTGATGCAACAATTCAGAGCAAGAGGTGTCAGTTATCAGACACTGTTAAACAGAATATTGCAAGAGTGCTAATGTTTTAAGCATGTTTTTATTTTAAGTAAAAAAAAAAACCACCCTTTGTGGCATTACATTTTATGACACACATGGCTCAGCCCAACAAGGTCTCACTTACGTCAGATCCGGCCCTCATAACAAATGAGTTCGACACCCCTGTGCTAGTCCATTATATTCTCCAGGATTTGATGTTCGTCCATTACATTCTTCAGAGTTTGATGTGTCCCACTTGATGTGTTAGTCCACGAGAGCACTGTGACATCTTAAAGACTCAGTGTGGCCTTTCATGGAATGAGAGTCCAGTTTGCCAGATGCAGGAAAGATTACCCTCAGTGGTCTGACAAACACACACACATAGAGGAGAAAAAGTTATCAAGCGGGGCAGTACAGCCGCAAATTGTGGTTATGTTGCCCCCTGGACTTCCTGCATTTCGTGGCCCTTTGAGCCTGCCGTTCATAGTTCTGTATGGTGTACTGGTTAACAGTGCGGACTCTAATCTGGGAGATCCAGGTTTGATTCCCCACTCCTCCACATGCAGCTGTTGGTGAGACCTTCGGTCGGTCACACGTTCTCTCAGGGCTGTTCTCTCAGGAGCAGTCCTCGAAAGAGCTCTCTCAGCCCCACCTGCCTAACAGGGTGTCTGTTGTGGGGAGGAGAAGGGGAAGGAGTTTGTAAGCCGCTCTGAGACACCTTTGGGTAGTGAAGGGCGGGGTATAAATTCAATCTCCTCCTCCTCCTCCACGTGCAGCTGCTGTGACCTTGGGTCAGTCACAAGTTCTCTCAGAGCTCTCTCAGCCCCACCTACCTCTAAGGGTGTCTGTTGTGGGGAGGGGAAGGGAAAAGAGACTAAGCCGCTCTGAGACTCCTTCAGGTAGTGAACGCTGGGGTATAAATCCAATCTCTTCTTCTTCTTCTATATATATACTGTATGACCTGAAAGCTTTTAATTCATTGATACTGTCAATTTATACAAGTTATACGGTTTACTTTGGGAGGGGAAAGTATCATTCAGGATGCAGAGGAAAAGAGGACTTGCAGAGGGTGGGGGTTGAGAGCATCACGGCAAAGGAGGGGGGGCTTCTCTCGTCTTCACGTTGCTCTCCGGACAACCCCCCCAAATCGTTCCCCTTCCCTCAGCATCCGGCAGCTGAAGGAGAGGGTGGCGAACCTGCGTGCGAAACACGACCAGATTTACAACTTCACCCCGCAGGAGATAGAACCGCAGGTGGACTGGTCCGCGGTGATCGACGAGAAGCAGGTAAGTGGCGTTGCCGGCTCTGGGTTGGGAAATACCTGGAGATTTTGTGGGTGGAGCCTGGGGAGGGCGGGGTTTGCCGGGAGGAGGGATCATGCCACGGAGCCCACCCTCCAAAGCAGCCATTTTCTCCAGGGGAGCTGACCTATGCCGTCTGGAGACCAGGTGTAATGCCAGGGGATCTCCAGGCCCGACTTAGAGTTTGGGAACCAGATAAAGCAGCATCTGCTCAAGAAAACTGGGAAGGATCCATTTTTCCAGGAGAGTCCCTTCTGCACTCCGTGTAGACGGGGGAGGCTAGATGGCAGAGCATGAGGCGGTGTTCTCCCCGAAAGCAGAAATCTAGAACAGCAGGAAGAGGGCGGGGCCTAGAATCTTTCTTTTCTTTTTCTTTTTTTTTAATTTATATTTTTTATTGAAGTCATAAAGTTGCATACAAATAATAATAGCATGTAAATACACTTCAAGTTTAACATGAGATATAGAGTAAGAGCAGGGCCTAGAATCTTTCTCCCTGAGGCACTAGCTTTTGACTACCTTTAAAAAAAAAAGTGTGGAAAGATAGGGATACATGCGGATTGCTGGTGGCAATGTGTGAAAATAAAAAATAATAATAATCCTGGCAATTGGTATTGGAACAAGGTACATGTAATTACTGGGTGTGCTGTGCCTTTGACACCTGGAGGAAGGGTTTTTAAATCATTGGTTGGATGATTCAGTCTCTCAAATTAGGGGGAAAAACCCTGCTTGCTAGTCTTTTAATAGCGGCTAAAACAACAATGGAGCTGCGGTGGCTCAAGTGGTTAAGACGCTGAACTGCAGGCTGTGGAAGGTCAGTAGTTCAGCAGTTCGAGACCCGGGTGCCGCAGGATGGAGTGAGCTCCCGTCTCTAGTTCCAGCTCCTGCCAACCTAGCAGTTTGAAAGCAAGAAATTGCAAGTAGATGAATAGGTACCACTTCAGTGGGAAGGGAACAGCGTCCCGTGCGCCTTGGTGTTTAGTCATGCCGGCCACATGACCATGGAAACGTCTTCGGACAGCGCTGGCTCTTCGGCTTTGAAACGGAGATGAGTACTGCAACCCTAGAGTCGGATTCGACTGGCTTTCGAGCAAGGGAGTCCTCTACCTTTACTTTAAAACATCAATATCCGCAACTTGGAAACATTCAGAAGCTCCTACAGTTTGGTGTAGTGGTTAAGTATGCGGACTCTAACCTGGGAGAACTGGGTTTGATTCCCCACCCCTCCACATGCAGCTGCTGGTGTGACCTTGGGTCAGTCACAGTTCTCTCAGAGCTGCTCTCAGCCCCACCTACCTCACAGGGCGTCTGTTGTGGGGAGGGGAAGGGAAAAGAGATTGTAAGCTGCTGTGAGACTCCTTCGGGTAGTGAAGGGCAGGGTATAAATCCAATCTCCTCTTCTTCTTCTTCGTGGCATGGTAAGTTAAGAGAAATGTATACAATGGGCAAAATTACTTACCAAGTGAATCCATCTGAATCTCACCCATCCTGTTCTGGTTCTGTTGAACTTTGGTCCATTGTATTCGAGTATTTGATGCAGCTTGAAGTGGTCCCAAAGAGCTTAAAATCTTTGATTTGAATACAATTGTGCATGATATGAAAGATGACGTGAGCGATGGGATTGCTTTGTTTCTGTCAATTTGGTGCTCGACGACCTCATACGATAATTTGTAAATGGAACTATTTTGAGTTAGTAGTATGCAATATATGCATTGTTTATAAAATGTTAAATTTAAAAAAAAACAAAGTAGGTTTTGCAAATTTACCCCCATTCACAGCCTAAAGCACTTCAATCCACTACATCCTTTTGTCCTTCTACAACAGATAGATCCCTGGCTTAGCCTCTTAGATGTGTTGTCTCTCTGATTCCCTTTCCTCCTCGCAGTCCTTTTGAAAGGAAATGGAGCCATAGGCAATGTGTCCTCTAAGCCAGTTTGGTGTCGTGGTTAAGTGCGCGGACTCTAATCTGGGAGAACTGGGTTTGATTCCCCACTCCTCCACTTGCACCTGGCTGGATGACCTTGGGCAAGCCGTAGCTCTGATAAGAGCTGTTCTTGAAAAAGAGCAGTTTCTGTCAAGAGCTCTCTCAACCCCACCTACCTCACAGGGTGTCTGTTGTGGGGAGGGGAAGGGAAAGGAGTCTGTAAGCAGCTTTGAGTGAAGGGCAAGGTATAAATCAAATTTCTTCTTCTTCTCTTCTAAGCTTTGGGGTCTTGTGAGCCAAAATTCTACTTTGTGAGCTCCTGGCGTTAAAGTTGTGAGTGAGCGATTTGGCTGCGGCATGAATCAGTTTGCTCCGGAGCCCATCCTTCCCGAGCGGAGACAAAAAGGTGTGAGCCGGAGGCTAGAAAACCGTGAGCTAGCTCACACCAACTCAGCTTAGAGGGAGCACTGGCCGTAGGCTGTCTCTGCTGTAGGACCTGTGCTTTCAGCCTACAAGGGGGGGGGGCTTTCTACCCCCCCCCCCAAGATGAACTCGGGAAGCGGCCCTCTGATGAGGCCGGAAAGCTCACGCAGGGTCGAGTTTTGTGAATGAAACAGCCGCCGCCCCCTGATTAGGCACCGGCGGCGTCAGTCGGCTGGGACCATGCCAGGGGTGGAAGTGGGGGAAATGGGCCACCTGCCTCCATGCCAGTTGGCTCTGTTCCCCTCCCAGTCGTCTCATCGGCGCCCTGTTTCAAATCCCCCCTTATCCTCCCCGGCTGCAGGCTGGAGTCCCACTCAGCTTTGGCCTAACGGGTGGCGATCGCACTCGGGAGGAGTTGCTAACTTGGCAGTTCCCACTGGGAGACGGGAGGCCACTTCCCTTTGTCATAACAGAGTTGCGGTCACGGCGGCACCGTGTGGCGATGTCACGCTGGGTTCAGAGCAGGGGCTGCTGCACCTCTCCGAAGAATCCAGCCTGGCTGCTCCGCCTGGCATGTGGCAAACGATGCGGGCGAAACGTTCCGGAGGAGTGGCCGAAGAGTGTTGCCCGCTCAGTTTCGGCATACCAGGAAAATGACCAAGGCCGGTTTGAGAAAGGTGGCAGTCTCCTGGCTAGCCTATCTGTAGGATTGCCAGCTTTGGGTTGTGTTGTGTCCGCTGACCGCCACCGGAGGTCAGCGCACACTCCTGAGCTTCAGTCCGGCACAACAATGGGACTAGGATTCTAGTCCCTCCACTGGGGGGAACCAATGGGACCTTGGCGGGAGATTCAAACCCACCAATGGGACCAGGGGAAGCCCCTGGACTGTGTATATAGTTGGCCTGCCGGCCGTTAGTTCTTAGTCTTGTTGTGTACCAGTAAAGCCATGCTGATCACCACATCAGTTTCCATGCTTTCTTTACGCGTCTAACCCACTACACTTCAATGGCGACGAGGATGGGATCCCGCTGAGCAACCAGCCGGGCTGTCGGACGCTAAGGGGAAGCCAACGCACCGCCGCCCGCGCTCCGTCGATCGATGAGCACCGAGGGTGAGCAATCCGCTTCCCAGCCGCAACCGACCAGCACAATGGCCCTTGCTCCGGGATCAGGGCTGATACAGCCATTCGACACGGCGCGCCCTCAGCAATGGGGAGCTTGGATCACCGGCGTGAAGCAAGTTCTCATCTTCTGCCAGGTGACGGACGAGGCAAGAAAGAAAGGGCTTCTACTCGGGACA